TAAAATAAAATAAATCTCTATCTTCCCTTTTGTGTAAATAAAATTCTATCATATTAAACATTTGGATTTAATTCCAAGATGTTCATGGAAATTATTAAAATAAATGCTTTTTTTTTTTTGGTTGAAAATGTGCTGTTCTTTGCATGTGTGATGTGTGGTTTCTTGTGGATGGAAAAGGAAGAACAATTATGATTTATTAAGTGAAAATGGCAAGTAATTTAATTGCAAAGGTTTTTAAACTGAAAAAGTTTGTTTTCTAGAAGTGCATGAAGATTTTGATTTTTTCTTTTTTTTAGTCCCGTGAAAATTGAATCATCAATCGTTAGAGTTGCTGACATATATTTTATCCGTTTAAGTTAGGTTCGGATTGACATAAAATTTTTGATCACATATATTTTTTGTAAGTACAACACATACCTCATAATTGAAATAAAATATTAGGAATAAAAAAAAGATAAAAAAAAATGTATTTATTTTGTCTATCAACTTTTGTATGCACGAAATAATTTAGTTTTTAGATTTAAAATTTATAATGATTTAATCTTAAAACTTTCATATCCAATCTCATTGCAGTCTAACCGAGAGTTATCGTGGCAACTGCAAGGATCTCATGAACGGGTTAGGTTAATGAGTTTAATTCATTTATAAAATAAATTTTGTTATGTTATATAATTATCATTTATTTTGTGTGCGTGCACACATGGCCCTTATTTTTGTGCATGGTGGGATATTTCAAGTGGCTGCACATGTCAAACTTCCCTACGTGATAGAGATTAAATTGTTACAATGCTAAACAATATGGACTAAATCATTATATACTAAAATTAAGATGCTACATTTTTACTTCAATAGATCAAATCTATTTTTAACCTAAAAAGAATTAAGTTTAAATCTTATATATTTTAGTTTTTATACTCTTAAAATATCTATTTATCCTATAAACTAAAGAAAAATATATTTTCTTAATTGTCGTTATAGTTTGTAGTCGATTATATTGTTTAAACAAAGAATGACGTCGTTTCGAATACGCACACAAAATGTGTAACGTACACATATATATATATTGAAGCGGTGTAAATTTGTTAAAATGAATAGTTAGGTGGATATATATTAGGTAGCATAAATAATTATGACTAAAATAATTATTTTCTAAATATTTTAAATATTAAGAACTAAAATAAAATATAACTAAAAGTTTGGATCAAAATATGACTTAAACTAAAAGAGTAATTATAAATATAACAAAAGTAGAATTTATATTAGATATTGAATTATCTGTAATTAAAGTTAATGGCTACCGGAGCAATGCTTAGTAGCTAATCCTATTAATTTCTTTTCTAATACAACATGTAGAATTCGAACTTGACTTTTAGTCAGAGACAGGTACCTTAATTAGTTGAATTATGCTCACTGCAATCATTTTTCACTACAAAAACAAATCAATGTTTTTCTTCCTAATATATCTATCTTAATCAACTATATTCACGTTTTTTTCCTCCTTTTCAGAAAATTTTTATATTTTTTATATAAAAATACACATTTACAATTTTGTTTAATAAACCATCCATCGGCGGAAGAGGATTTTCATTAAATCATAAAAATTTTGAAAATTGGCCTCTTCCTGCAAAGTATTAACCTATAGTATGAATTACTTGTCAAAACAAAAAAATAAAATAAAATAAAAGCATATATTTTTACCAGAGGCTTGAATACATCCATTTGAACTAAAAAAAAAGTAGCCAACGTATTTATTTATTATTTTTTTTTAATGACCCCTGACCAATAACGTGTCTTTGAAGAAAAACAAAAAGAGTCAATATAAATTGGTAAATATATTTAAAGTCAGATGTATACTTCATGATCTCTTATTTTAAATAATTCTTAATTTTTCCTTTTTCAAGACATCTAAAAAATTATCCTTAATCTTCTGAAATTTCAATTTTACCCTTGATAAATTTAAAAAATCTCAATTAAGTCCCAACATTAGTAAACACTTATTTTATATTATTATCTAATTAACCTATTTGTATTTGTGTACATGAGGCTCAAACACTAATTGACTAATAAAATCCTACATTTAAATCTTTAAGTCTAAAAAAAAAAAGTATATATATCTTGAATTAGTTAATTTGTATAAGATTATCCTATAAATGTATTTTTGAAATTATCCCTTTTTATGTACCTTAAAATTTTCAAATTAACTTGTTTGGAAGTGAAACAAAACAAACATATTAGATTTTGGTGCAAATTCTCGACATGTAACAATTAGTTTGTTCTTATATGCTTATTTCACACAGCCCTTTTTTTTCTTTTGATTAAGAAAACATTGTATCTATTTTATGTTTATTATTTCGTTATGTTCCAATTTTAAAATATATAAACAACATACATTTTCTTGATGTCATGATTTTTTATTTTTTATTTTATTATTATGGAACAAATTTTGTGGGCAGTTGAATATTTCTCATTAATTACAGATGTTTTTAGAATTTTTATTTAAGTGAAGATACTTTATTCATCATGTGTTTGTTTATATGTACATCAAAATCTAATATTATGACATCCAAATGTACCTACAAATAAACATAGCTTAGTTAATAAGGTGTCTATTATCTTTAATGCTTCGGTCTCTCGTCTCATATTTTAGTAAATCTCATAAAATAATAAAGATAGTGAATATATATATATATATATATATTTATTATGTATGTATACATTTTTTAAATAAAGAATATTTGTAAAAGAATTGCATATTAAAGAGATCTAATATACTCTATGCAGCGCTTACCAACTAACTAATACAATAAGTTATGTAGCGCTGGCCAAATTATTTTCTCACTTTAAAAGTTAGGAAGTTTCTAATAGTAAATCATCAAATAATGGCTTACTTCTCATTATTATTTTTTAGTACAATAGATCAGAAAAAGGCGAAACACAAAATTAAGAAGCATCAATTTTAAAATAATAATAATAAATCGTCTAGGTAAAAAGGTTTATCTAATTCATGAGTCATGACAGGCAAGGATTACAAAAATATTTTTTTTAAATCAAAAGGTTGCAGCCCCTAAATTTGTTATGTAATGTTCTTTAAAAGAAAATTTAAAAATTAATGAGATTTAGTATCTACATGTTTAAATGCTAATATTAGTGTGTGTGTATGTATCTATATATATATATGGAATATTATACAAATTATTCAAATTAATTGGGCATGACAATCCAAACTTTTAACATTATAATATCTATTATTCTTCAAAATCGACTGTTTTCTTTAATAATTATCTACTAAAGAAATACTTCTATGATTTCTTTCCTTTCTTTTAATAAATATGGTGAAAGTATTTCTTTTAAGAAACTTTTTATGAGTATATTTAACAAGAAAACCATGTGTTAATTAAAATTTACTATTTCATTTCTTCCATTGCATCATCTCTTTTCTACCTGATAAACTTTTCATCTGATTGTAATTTGAATAGAACGTCAGCTTTTCAAAAGAAAAGATCATGAGATCCCTTTGTGTGTAAAAGTTAAATCTTCTTTTTTGTTTTTTTTTTTTTACAAAAGTAAAGAAGGGAAAGGGAGAGATTTGAATTCTGGATAGAAACTTTAAATCAATTGAATTTGTCACTACAACCCTCACTAATTGTGGGGGAAAAGATAATATTGGGAGAAAATTTTTTTAGTTCAACCATTGCAGGGTGGGAATCAAACCGTCGATTTTGCGATGGTAATAGATGTATTATCCACTGAACTATGCTCGGATTTACCTGCATATCGAGAGAAAAGAGGGTGACATCAAAAGAGAACTCGAGGACATTATAGAAATTTGAGAAACTATTTGAATGAGGCAATTTAGAGGAGTTTTGGCTGTTCCTTTCCTCCATAACCCTAGGGAGGACCTTTTGGGGGACCTTATTAGCTCATAAATATCCCTCTTGCCTCTATTTTTTTATAAGTCAACAACATTATAATAAGTGATCTATATTCTAGTGTTCTCTCTAGATTTAAAAAGGTTTTAGTGGATGTCTATGAATTTAATTAATTACATTATTTAAAATATTCATAGAATTTTTCTTGCACATGTCATAAAAAAGTTCATTTTCAAGATATGAAGTAGTAAATTTATGCATAGAGAGAGGAAGATCAAATGTGAAAGAAGCCAATTTCAAATTTAGATTCCAATCAAACTATCGAGTATTTAAACAAAAAGTTACAATTGGATAGAGACATGTTTGTGGGTAAGAAGAAACTTGCATGAGTTGGGAATATTGTCAAAATGGGGAGGGGGGAATAATAAAAATACATAATTGTTCTAGTTCGAGTCCAAAGTCATCTCATAATTTATCTTGAAACTAATTATACCTGATCTAGCAATTGTCTATCTCATTCCTTTCCTATCTCATAACCGACCTCCTAGTGATTTCAAATCACACAGCCACTCCACATCCTGTAGGCATTCTTATTGCAACTGATCCTGCAATCTTCAATCTTTCACGCGTGATTTTAGGATGGTGAGAGATAATTAGCTTACTTTTACCTGAGAAGTGGATCAAAATAAATGTTTTTTTTCTCCCCCACTCTGGATTATTTGCTACATTGATATTTACTAACCATTAAGGGTGTGACAAGCCCAAACCCGAAGAGAATCAAAATGTTTCTTTAGCTTAATGAAATTTGAAATAAATAAAAACAACATTTCAATTGTTGATAGTTAGTTTAATCAACTTCATTCAATTTATCCTCCTGTTTGATTTTTTAAAATAATAATAATAATAAATTTCAATATCAATCTTCAATCATTCTTAAGTGGTTCTAAACCAACTAGAATCAATCCACTGAACTTGTGTTTACTTATATTAACTCAACGAAACTCTAACTTAGACGGAGAAGGAGGTTTACATATTTGGTAGAGAAGTAATAGAATCACCAAATTTGAAACCTTGGAGGCTCCAAAAAGATGAAAATTTTTTGAAAGAAAAAAAGAAAAAAGCAAAGCATGTGAAATAGGAAAAAGGCATAATTGAGGAATCTAAAGGATTCACCGAATTGTTCATATATTACAAATTAAATTAAGTTGAATTCCCTAGAGGCATGCAATCATACATGTAACCCTAACCGAAAGCAACCAAAGATTTGCCCTTTGACTTGTGCTCCTCCACACCAAATACCACCTCTACCTATAAAGCAAAACCTCATAACTTTTGCTCTCTTTTTTTTTTCCTTTTCTTTTTTTTTTCCAATTATCGAAGCTATGTAGACCTCCAACTCTCTTTCGATTCTCGATCGAATATCTAAGATGCATCAAACAGTGACGAAGAATGAACCGATACACGAGATTGTATGAATAACAATTAACCCTGATGCATATCGTTGCAATTCGTAACTTTCAACTTTCATGAGTTTTTTTTATGTGATTCAACGGTCATGTTTTGCGGAAAGAAATGGGAAAGAGAATTGTTTATAAGTTTGTTCCTTTTTAGTGAAAAGGATGGGGAGGTTTTGTCAACAAAGGAAAGAAGAAAGTTGAGGAGGAAATGACCCGATCGGGAAAAGGGAAGCTTCATGGAAGATTTCATTTTTCATGTTACACATTTTGTTGGTTATTCTTAGCTTTATACCCAAAAAAAATGTAGTGAGGAGCCATTCTTCTGTCATGCTTTTACAACTTTATGTTAAATTTTTATATATTATTTAATCAATTATAACTAGTGTATGAAATTCTAACTAATTCCACAAACTTATAAAATTGTTTCAAATTCTAACTAATTCTGAACTTATAAAATTGTTTCAGTTTTTTTAGTACATGCGGAAGTAAGTTTTTTTAGTACATGTTGAGTGATCGAACTCACAATCTTTTGGTTGGAAATATATATCAATTATTACTGTTTTGCTCAAGTTAAAGACTAATATTTCTCAAAATAATAATAAATAAAAAAATAAACTCTACTACTTGAGATTTATTGTAACCATCTATGAAATATGCGAGGGTAATCGTAAGTAATTTCTATAGTTCAAAGAATTTTTACAATATCTTAAAACTAACTATTCAATTAATCATAATTCATTTATCAAATAAATCAATGGTCACATATTTGAATTTTGCGTACCACCTAATTTAACCATTTTTTTCTAAATAATCCTCTCGTAAATAATCATCTAACTTGAACCATAACAATTTCAATCGCTTTAAATTCAATTTTTGATTTCTTCAAAAATAACTCTTTAACTAATCCAATCTTGTAAAAATATTTTTTATTTATTACCAAACATGATATATTTTCATAAGAACACTTTAAGTAATTCTTCGAAAAGTGCTTATAGAAAAAATATTTTTATTCAAAAATCACTCTATTCCAACACTATTTTAACAATTATTCTATTATTTGATCCCTCGTGTTCATCTCTAGTGTTTATTTGAAACTCAAAATGTTAACATATAGTTCCAAATTGTCATTCAACTAACCATATTAATAAAAATTAACATGCCTGGCTTATGCATCCAAACTCCAACTAAATACTTAAAAAAAATAAAATAAAATAAAATTCCATTATGGCTGACCAAAGTTCCAAAACAAAAAAAAGGCCCATTCAGGTTAAAACTCTCATCATGAAAGCCCCTCTTTCCAACTTCTACTTCTCTTAAGCTAAATGGGATCTTTCATCATTCATATTAAGTTCATAAGGTCTATTTTCTCCTTCAACAAATGGCTACATAAACCAGAACAAGACAGACTGACAAGATTCAGCAACATGAAGACCAACCAAACAAATTAAGAAGCTTACTCCACAGCTGCAGATAGAAAGCCTAGGAAATGAAAAGGAGACACCCTTTTATTTAATCGAGAAACCGAGCTATCATTGAGGGAAAAAAAACAATATAAAAGAGCCAACCCACAGAAGCAGACTAACAAAAGACAGGGCTACAAAAATGGCAACTCAAAAAATGAGCCAATTTTAGAACTTATCCAACAAAACGAGAAAGAAATCTAATCCACAAGAATAATACCTAGACTTCTCGACTCCTCATTGCTTTTGAAGAGGAAGAGATAACACCCACAGCCAAAAGGATGGAGGAGATACCACCAACCAAACTGATTTTCATCGAATCCCATACATACCCTATTTTCTTTTCTTTTCTCTTTCAGAAATTAGAAGAGAGATGTTAGATTCCATATCAAACAGTGGCAACGATCAACTCAGAGGCAATTCTTTGCAAGCTATATTCATATAACATTCATAATAAACTCAGAAGGATCAAAAAATATAGTCAAGAAAGAAAGAACATCCTAATGGTGGAAAAAAAAAAAGCTTCACTAGAACCTGTAAACCTCTTAAATTATTAAAAAAAAAGGTAATTTGTACGGCCGCTGGTCTGTTGTATCTGCTTAAAACAAGCACATAAAGATACTCTATTCTTGATTAAGGAAAAAAAAAAGATGTAAACTCACAAAGTATGTAACTAATTCAGAAACATTGCAAATTAATTAAACTTTTGCTTGTCCATCTGTGGAACAGCTTTCGACAGCGTCCATTGCTTTATATTGGTAAAGACAGCAATGAACATGAATTGAGAAAAGCAAAGAAGCATAATTACCGCCTCAAAGATGAAGGGGTACCTCTCAGGAGGGCGCACCACCAAGTAAACGATGTGGAGAACGAGTGAGCAAAAAAGGAGACATCCAAATAGAACTCCTCCAGAAAGAAATGCTCCCATTTTTTGACGTCCTTGATTTGATGCATTGATAATAAGGAACGTAAGTGCATAAATAGAAAGATATGCTTGAACCAGTTTGTCTCGAACTACGAGAGGAAACATTGAAAGCAAGGCATAGTGCAGAAAATGTCTAAATAATGAAGGTTCATCCAGAGCCAACATGCTTGCAGGAAGAAGAGGCAGAAGAATAGACTTCTCATGCACTGCAAATGTTATTCATAAACAGCAAATTAGACCATCTCGTCTCTTCAGATTAAAAGTCATCCAACTTGGCAGGAGAGAGAGGGGCATGTACCTTGAAATGAAAACAGGTAGAATGAGAAAGAACTACATAGAAGGCCATAAAGAAATCCCTGTTTACTTGGGGTACGAATCTGCTGAACCATGGAAGGTAGACAAGCAGACAGTGTAGCAGTGAAGCTGAGAAACTTCAGTAATTTTACTGAAAACAATCTCTTCCACTTGATAAGAACAGATGTGGTACACCAAAAGTTTGCCACATAGTCTTCATATATTCCTCTCTCAAAGGGAGCAAGACGTGATAGAACCTAAGCAACCACACTTGAATTAAACTTCAAAAAACAGAATGGATGGTAACATTGACCACGAGCACGTTTCGAGAAGAAAAATATGGATATAAAATAATGTACTGCCAATATGTTAAATCGTATTGTTAAGATAATTACGCTACAGATCTTAAGCAATGTCTCATTCCTGCCATTTTAAAATCCTCCAGGTTTTTGGAACTGAAATCAACCATAGTTGAAACAATGTTTTGATTTAGTACCACCAAATACGTATTCTAACTTTAATTTGATAGGGATAAATAAGACACCCTAGCTCCGTGTGTGTTCTTTTTTTTTTTGGTTCTAGACCCGTGTGTTTTATGTATGCTACAAGGGGTATTGCAAGTAAGTAGCACTTTAGAGAGATCCTCATAACTCTTATCTCTCTCTTTCAACATCAAGCATGTAACAACTAGCGCTCATATCAATTTCTATTCTATCCATTGGGATCAGAGCTCTGTCCGAGTACGCCAAAAGGAAAGAAGATGTATAGCACGATCGAGACAAGATTAGGAATTGTAGCTGAAGTCTAGAAGATTCTAGCATTACTGTACTTTTGACGGAAGTAAGTCAAACTTTTGAAACGGCAAGAAGAGATTTAGTGAACCATTACAAAGTCGATCAATTCAAAGATGGGAAGAGTTAGTAAGAAAAAATCAGGAAGCTAGTGAAGGAAAGAAAAATGAGAAATCATATGAATCATCATTTCAGAAGTTGGAATTGTTGTTATTTGACCGAACCAATCCACATGGGTGGATATACAAGCCGCACAATACTTTGAGACCAACCAGCTGGATGAATCAAAGAGATTCAGAGCAATAGTCCTAAGTATGGAAGGGGAAGCTCTAGTATGTTCCAACAGATTGGGTGGCGGCAACCTCTATGAAAGTGGGAAGAACTAAAGTTCACCTCAATCAACCAATTCCATTTAACATGAGAAAATCTTGCACAAGTAGTTCTCATGTCCCAGGCAAGAAAATAGAGGTAAGAGACTTTATCCAACATTTTGAGATGTTAGTTGCTCTGTTACCAAATATTCCTAATATGTTGGGGATATTTTGTGAATGGGCCAAAGACAGATTTGAGTTGAATTGATGGCATTTGAGTTCAACCATTGGACCTACTCATGATGATGAAGGTGGCCTAATAAGTAGAAAATTGCAAAATGCAGCTTTTTTTCTCAATAAGAAACTGAAAATATTAAGAACAGAGGAAAAAACATCCTACGGGAAGGGGATGAGGAAGCCCCCTCCAAAAATAACTAGTGTATTACAACTTTCCAATCTTGTGTAATCAATGCTAGACTGTAATTAGAATTTCCAATGGTTGAGGCACCACATTGAAGAAATAGTTCGCACAAAATTACAAAAAACTGTCAAGAAGGCAAGCTATATTGTTAAAGACTTGTTGATTTATTTCCTTCCATAAGCACTAAAAGAGAGCTCGGCACAACCCCCCAAGACTTTTGCCTTTCCTTTAAAACACCACCCTGGGAGCACTTGAAGAAACCAATCACCTACTATTTTGGGCAAGCAAGAAGAAATACCCAATTCTCTCATCAAAAAGTACCAGCTCCTAGAGGCATAAGGCCAATGGAGGAAGATGTGATCAATATTGTCAGCATTCGTGAGACAGAGGCGGCACATCGAAGGGGACAGACCATGGGAGCAAAAACATCTACAGGCCAAACTTTTAATTAGTGAAAGTATGATGATAGAATTCAAATCATTAAATACTACACACGTAAGCGTGGGAGGCAAAGAGGGGCCAAGTAATTAGTAAGGAGAGAATTATTGTGAGCCCAATATTGTTAGTTAGAGGGAGTGCCATGAGATGAGGGAGTTAATTGCGGTGACGTTAGATGAATAAGGATTTTCAGAGAATGTGGGCTGAGGGGTGGGTATGGTTTTTTCACGTCAATTCTGAAAAGCTCTGTTGAGTGCTTGTAGGAGAGTTGGGGAGCTCTCAAATCTCCCTTGTTTGGAGGACTGCTTCATAAATAATATTGTGTCTTATAACATTACAAGCCATGGGAGCAAAAATGTCTGTCTATGAGAAAGGCATGAGGGGGAAATGCATGAAAAATAAAGAGGGAAATTTACTATATTGTTTCTGAAGGTATTGGGACCCTCATAGTAGTTCAATTAGGGAGAGAATATTCTGGGAGAAATTATTTGCAGAGGGTATGCATGTAAGTAGTACCATTTTGAGGAGAGCCTCAAGGCTCAAACTACTCAAATGTCTGAAAAGGAGTTGTAACTTTCTCTCTTTCCATATCAAGCATATTACAGCTAGAAGTCAGAACTCATATCAATTGTCTATCATATTTGTACTCGATGTTTCTTGAAACATAAAAGGACTTTCAACTCAAGAACCAAAAGGGGGCCTAAAACTTTCTAACTTCCCAGCTTGACAGCTTGTCAGAACTCAGTATGTACGCACTTGGAGGATGCCTGCCAAGCGAGAAGTTTCATCCAGTAAAAGTGGTCAACAATTTATAATTCTTTTCTATTCAAAAAAGGTGTGATCCTTTTTTCCTCTTTCCTTCTCAACTACTTTGGTGGATGCCCCCCGCCCCCAAAAAAAAGCATAAACGTAAGTAAAGAAACTATTTTGGCAAAGAGTGAAAAATAATGAATGCATTATTGGACATTTCTTTATACCTGCAAAAGGTCATCCACTGAATGAAGATACGGCGACCAAATAATAGCAAAAGTTCCTAAGACCACCAAACCCAATTTTAACACTTCAACAATTGGGTTTCTATGCCTCATACATTTCCCCAAGAGATGGCTGAAAAATGCAGGAGCAAAATATGCACTCATCTGCAAGACATCAGGTAGTAAAAGATTCACTCTAGTTATGGTGACTACACAAAAATTTCAAAAAATGAAATTTCAACCATTAAATTTATTACTATCCTCAGCTTCACAACCTAGAAATGAGTCAGACAAAGTTGAGGGCAAAATTGAAAAGTGAATTTAAACCTACTGAGAAAATGTTAGACATTTACGGATGTATCTACTTAATATTATATTATTTATTTATTCCTCTGAGTTAATATGCCAGATCAACACATAAGAAATCTTGCCCAAGCCAACAGAAAATGAATCATACATGTTATTGTCTCAAAACTGATCACTGTTCACTATTCAGCGCACAAACAAGAAAAGCAGAATATTAAGGTATAATACTTCTAAGGATGAGTAAGTTGAAACGCACCTGCTTATGATTCAGAGCAAGAGTAAATAGGAAACTACCCACAAGATCTTTCTCCGTACATATAGCAGCAATAGCTCCCACAGTGAGGCCCAAGCTTATACAGTTATACTGTGAGAAAGGAGAAAACGTAAATCATACATGTTATTGTCAAACCTGCATGCTTCCAAGTTTCAAATGAAAAATGAAAACACGTGGAAAACAGGCAATGCTCGGAGGTAGAAACCTGAAAATGGCCATGATCAATTAAGATGAGACACGGGTTGAGCAGAAGGATTGCAATTTGCCATGCTATATCACTTTTGCGATAGCTGGAGTTACTACTAAAATATGCGAGAACAAAATAGAAAACTGCAGGAAAGAAAATCAGCACATCAGAGGATAAAACCGTCCATCTCATAAGAAGTTTTCTGCAAAGAAGCCAACAGGGTAGGAAACTCAAAATGTAATAAAGTTTGAAGAAAAACATAAAGTATTTGAATAAAAGATGAAAAATAGCATCATACCCACCCAAAATAGGACTCATAACCTCGAGAAGTAAACAGTGAAACCGACTCTGGATCAAATAACTTGAGGAATAGAGCATGAATGAAACTCTGATAGGCAGTAAGGGGTGGATAATCAAGTCCCCAATAGTTGAGGTCGTTGGTGGTACTGTTCCGATACCAGTCCTTAGCTGGAAGGTTGATGGTGATTTCCATCCAATGCCTCTGCGCCTCATAGTCCCCAAACTTGGGAGGGTTGCCAGCACCAGAGTAAGGATGAAGGCAGACTGCCGCTCGAACCAGCAAAGCAAACAAAGATATGGACAAAAATGTAGCTTTCACTCCTTTGTGAATCAACCACCAAGCAGCATCGTCACGGTTGTCAACATTAACCATGTCTTTCATGATCTTGCCTTCCTCTCCTTTCTCCATGGCTGACCTGTTAGAGAATCTGCATAAAAAATCTTAAAGAAAGAAGCGTATCACATTTTAGATTTAGTAATTTCTAGAACCCCAAATGGCGAAAATTATCACGAACGCGATATTGACTGCAACTTAACCCTAACAAAGCCCTATCAATGAACTCATTTCTGTTTTGACAACAGAGGAAATTATGTTACGGCCTCCAATTATATTTAGGTGGTTAAAATGAATCGGTGTTGTCAGTTTGGTTTCGGTTTCGGTTTCGGCTTAGAGCAAATAATTAAGAGTATCAGAGATCAATTCAATTCCCATTTTTGTTTTCCTTTAGAGAAACACACAAACTTCATTACAAAAAGAACTGAAGATCCATTGAAGAGTGAAACAAAATAATTGCCTCGTAGATTCAAGAACTCCGAGTCCCAATTATTCATTAACCACGAAATTTACCTCATTGAACTTATAACAGCATGATTCAATCAAAGAAATCTAGGATGGGGAGGGGGAGGGGTGACGATAGAAATTACAAAGAGTTCATAAATCTAAGAAATTGAAAATGAAATAAACGAATCAAAATTAAAATCTGAGTCTTACCAGTACGTGGAGAGAGGAAATTGAAGAACAAAAATCTGAGTCTTGCCTTCAATCCTGGAAACTTCGCGCGTTTCCGTTCCACTGAACTGAGTTTTGCTTGTGAGTATACAGAACAGAATAGGGCACTGTGCCACGGAGTGCGGTTCAGTTTATGACGTTAAAGCACACCACCTCATGATGGACGATTTTGCCCCTCTTCATTCTCTTTTTTCTCCGCTATGTCCTACAGTTGGGTTGGGCGTTTCGTCATCACGCGCCTCTCGGGATAATTTGCCGTCTATTTATGACTTTTTTACCCAAAAGTAACGATTTAGTTTCGTATCTTGAAATTTGTAATAATTTAATTCCTACTCTAAAATATTAGGTAAGAAAACAAAAAAATTTGGATCGATTTAACCTCACTGTTTTCGACCCAGGAATTCGAAAATACTCTCGTCATCTTCCTTTTAAGACGATATGAAATGTCATATGTGTGTGAGATATGTCTATTCCTTATGCCAAAAAGAAAGAAAGATCACCACCATCCCCATTAGCACCGCCAAGGGCGGATGCACGTTGGGCCCAGAGGAGATTCGAGCTCCCCTCAACTTTGAACAACATATAGAATTAATATGCACATTGTGTTTAAAATGTTAAAAAAAATTGATTTGTGGCCCAATGGTGATGTCGTGCTTTTGGTGCTCAAGCCCCCCCTTGTTCGTGTTTTCTTACTAGATTTTCTAATCCAGGAGTACGTAGAGGAGAAAGCTTTAGACTATAGCACCAACAAATTATTCCACATGTGGCTTTAAACTATACTTTTTAGTTTCTCTTTCATATATCCAACAGCATAAAACCGTCATCACATTCCATTCTCAAATTATTTATCTTTTAACGTCAATAAAAACTGTTTTACTCCTCCCTAGCTAACTATATCTGCCATGAAACATGCAATCTCTTGTGCACCCAAAAAAATGGTGGAGATTTCCTCCATAAATTTCTCAAAATTCTGCGATCTAAATACTAAAAAAGGACACAAAAAAACGAAAAAAAAAAAATTGGAAAGAACAAAAACAAAACAAAGCAAACCTTGTTCAAGCCTAGAGCTTGAAGAAGACGAGCGAAATCATGTAAAATGGATGATTCTCCAAAAGCTTGAGGAACAAAGTTTTGTTTTTTAAAGTTCAAGAGGTAGGAACCGTAAAGTTATTAATAATTTTTTTAATACGGAAATAATCATTACTTTTAATTATTTGATTTTTTTAAGTACATTTGGAGATTCGAACTTACGACCTTTTAGTCGGATATAGATACTCAGGTTGGCATTTTGTCTCGTTCATTAGACACATGACAAAATGCTTCTAAATTTTCAATCCTCATCCCCCGTAACCACAAAGTAGAATTATTTTATCATGTCAAGAAACCATCGTGAGCTCTTCCCAATTATATCTTCTATTCTTCAAAATTGAGAATAGAAACCATTAATATAGCATCGACTTATATAATATATTTTTCAAGACGGACAAATATGTCCTATAAATATAATAGAAAAACTTCAATCATCTTTAAATCATCAGTGGCAAGAATAAGTTGGGTCATCCCAACTATGTTTTAATAATCTTAATATCTTGTCATCTACCCAATCTACATATTATTAAATACAAAAGATACAAAATACTCAAGATAAAATAATATTTTAGAAAAAAATAATAATAATAGCTAATGTTTTTTTTAGTACAACATGTTGGGGAGGGGATCCGAACTCGCAACCTCATGGGTGGAGGTATATGCCAATTACCGCTGAGCTATGTTCGCTTTGGCAATAATAACCAATGTTATGTGAACAATCAAAAAACAATTAAAGGTAATGTTTAACATTATCATTCCAAGTATCGTTGCACCTACTACCTTAATTTGAAATAAAGGAATCGATGTATCTCTATTTTTTTTTTATATCCGTGTGTCCGGACCAGATTGCGCGCATCTCGACTAATCACGGACCAACCACCTGACTCTACTACATTTAGTTGACAAGGTAACTCGTAAGATATTAAATCTTTGGTAGGTGGCCACCATAGTTTGAACACGTTCCCTCTAAGCCCTTTGCTATTTACAACGACCCTTATTACCACTAGGTCATCCCATGATGATTGAATCGGTGTATCTCTAGTATCATATCGAAACGATCAACGACACCTGAGCATGAGATACACAAGTAGAAGAACTAATTTAACCAGCAAATCAGATGGGCAAAATTGATTCAAAGCAAACGCGTTGTGCTAATTCAATGCTTGATGGGAAAGTTTGAAAGGATGGAAATGAAAATGGAACGAATGATCTTTAATTTTTTTTTCTTCTTTAATAAATACAGGTAACTACTCAACAATACATTACCTCAACTTTTTGATGCATCCAATATTGTCAAAAGAAACCAAACTCAAAAAACTTCGAAAAACTTTACTTTGACTAGTTGAGCTATGAGCTATGTTCAAGTTAACAAATAGTGAATAATTCGTTATAACAAAAGAAGAAATGTATAAATATACGATTAACTTATGTGGCCATAAAAGAGAAAAAAAAAAAAAAAAGTAAACCCTTCTAATTTGATACCTTCACTATCAACACAGACTTCAAATATTTTGTACTTTTTACTTGAAAGTCGTAGTACGAACTTTCAAGCCCTACCCAAAAGAGCCACACATCTAGAACATAAATTTACAATAAAGTTGTCAATTCTTTTTTTTTTTTTTGGGTACAATTTTGTTTATGGAAGAATATGTCATTCATTAAAATACAAATGTTTCCGTGTGGGAGAACATTTTGACTACCTTTTCTTTGTGCCCACACTTTCCTTTCCTCATTAATGCTTTGCCTTTTTGTTTTATTGTTCTCTAAGATCAATGTTTTTTTAAGCTAATTTAGCTTTACTAAATTAGTTCTCGCTAATGGAATTTTTTTAATCAATGCTTAGACTTTCACACATAATTAATGAGAATAGGAACACAATATACCAACGTTTTAAAAGTAATTGAAAGAAAAAAGAACGAACTTTCACAGTGCGTTCTAACTTCTAAAAAAGTAAAAAAGTAAATTACAAGTCACGACCATTTAGGGATTCAAGTTTTTATTAAAATGAGTCTAATATAACTTTTAATAGTACTTCTAAGCAAAGTATTTTTTTTCTTTTTCTAAAAACCCTGGTTAAGTGTGTGATTGGAATAATTTTTGAAAAAGTACTTTTTAAATTTTTTTTAAAAAATAACATTTTTCTTTCCAACACTTTTGAATGAGTTACTCATTTAGAGTATATGTTTGATATAATCTCCTCAAAGACTAAAAGTTCTTTCTAAGAAACCTTTGCATTTTGGCAATAAATAAATAAAAGTATTTTTAAAAAATCAGATTAACATAAAATCACTTTTGAAGAAATATTTGAGAGATGATTATTAAAAAATAATAATAATAATAAGAATAACTTAAATTTAAAGGTATGTCAAGCTCCCGCCACGAAGGGATAGTCCAATTGGTAAGAGCTTTGAGGTCCTTTGGTTATTGGTCTCATATTCGAATCTTTTGGCAAGCATAATACCAAAAAATCTTTGGGGCAAGCATGGGTGCCCTTAAGTACAAGGGAGCAGAGCTCGGACTTTCCGTTATAAAAAACAATTATGTCAAGCTCACCCCTAAATGCTTCTACTAAAAGCCACTTAAAAATATTTAAATATACAACAAAAACACCACAATACATATATATATATATATTTGGACCTTTTTTTTCTTTTTGATATCCGTGAGTTTTCGGACAGCTTGCGCACACCTCCACTAATCTCACGAAACAACCGTCTAACCTTACAACATTTGGTATCAGAAAACAGATAGGAATTACTAATTCCTAAGGTAGGTGGTCATCATATAGTTTAAACTCATTTCCTCTCAATTAACCCTAGTTCCTTTGGATTAATGAGCCAACCATGATGGTTTATATTTGGACAAGCTTTGGTCATCACTCTTAAGGAGCTAAGTATTTTCYAAATAAATATACATATTATTCATCAGTTAAAAGCATTTTTCACTCATTAAATAAGGGATGAAAGAAAAAGAAAATCATAATAATATGAGGTGGACAGAACATAATACCTCAGAAGCTTCCCAAAGCCGCCCGCCAACAGCCATGGTCAAGTCTCTATTTGGCCCATTCAAAAACCTGGAAATTTGATTAATCAAAAACCTATTTAAAAGTCAAAAAATGGGAGCCCAGTCTCTGTCCTATAGTCCTATTGACCCTTTTTCAAAAAATAATATTTCATGCATGTGATAGCTAAAAAAAGAAAAAAAAAACAGTTATCATCTTCCCTGCAAATATATATATGTATCACAACAAAAGAGTACCTCCTTCAAGAGCTTCCTCACAGACAAACCAGACAGCAGCAAAAAGAATCAGCAGTTAAAGTTTTTTCAATCATGGGAAGGAAACTGGATGCTCTACTGGGAAAGAACAGGCATTTGAAGCCTTCCAAGTTCAAGGCTCTCGCTAATATGGCCATTTCCAGAACTGCCATCCTCAAGAACCAGCACCAAGCCCGCAGCTCCCTCGCCCGGGCCGACGTTCTCCAGCTCTTGAACCTCGGTCACCAACATCGCGCTAAGCTTAGAGTAATTTGCATCCCTCTCTCTCTTGCTCTCTCTGAACTCTATGCTTTTGTTTAGCCTCTAATCTCTCTTATATGTGGACGTGGATGATCAGGTTGAGATTGTGATCAAGGAGAGTAACATGTTGGATGCACTTGGGATGATAGAGGATTACTGCTACCTCCTCATGGAAAGAGTGGATCTTCTTCGGATGAGCAAGTAGGCCTTCCTTTGCTTCAGTTGAATTCCAGTCTTCGTCCTTTGTCAACATCGTTGAATCGGGGCCTTCCCAACCTAGCCTGACTATCTTTCTGCTTAAATTTCAGGGAATGCCCGGGTGAAGTTAAGGAGGCCATATCGACTCTGATCTTTGCAGCTTCTAGGTGCGGAGAGTTTCCAGAACTTCAGGAGATTCGCCGGATTTTCGAGTTGAAATTTGGGAGAGAGTTCGCCAGCAGTGCTGTGGATTTACGCAACAACTGCGGAGTTCGTCTCAAGGTGAGTTTGATATCAACTGCAAGACAATAACTAGTTGCCTGTATATATCATCTTCTTACTTAATAACCACAAATTCCATGTTTTAGATGATTCAAAAGTTCTCAACAAAACAGCCCAGCATTGAAACTAAACTGAAAGTGCTCGAGGAAATTGCTTCTGAGAATGGCATTACTCTGCATTTAGAGGAAGAACCTGAAATAACCATCAAGGTAAGGAAATTTCAAGCAGCAATGTAATAACAAATGAAACTTTCTAAGTCATCCTTTTAGTAAAAATTTAGTTGTTAACTGCAGGAACAGCTAAATCAGAAACTGGAAGCCAAGACATCAGCAGACTTGGATAATCCTGAAGTCATAAACGCCACCAATAACCTACATGAAGAAATGTTCAAGAACGAGTCAGAATTAGTGAGAGCAAAGAAGTTCAACGATGTAGCTAGTGCGGCTCAAGAGGCCTTCCAATCAGCAGCTTATGCAGCAGTAGCAGCTAGAGCTGCAATCGAGCTTTCAAGGTCTGAATCTCAGGATGTAGAAGATGACTCTCATCTTCAAAGAAGCATGACCCCAGATATGGATAGTTCCCATGAACCTAAACTTAATATAGAAGAAGCTAGCACGCCTCCCAGTAAGATTGACCATTCCGATGACATATTTAGCTTTGAAAAAATTCATCCTGATGAAAGTTCGAGCTCAGAATGTGAAGATGAAGACATAGCAGAAAGAAATCAAGAAACTCATCTCGAACATGCAGGCGAATCGCCAGAAAAACCTGTCAAAGAAAGCAAGCCATCTGATCCAAATTTGGATTCATCAAATCCAGATTCAATCTCCCAGAATGAGCTAGAGAATGACAAGTTGGTCAGTAAAGAAAATGCATTTGCCAGTAAAACTGAAATTTCAGATGAGGATATCAGAGTTCGTGAATCGAAGTAAATTTCTTGCCAAATTTCAAGTGGATTTTGCTGAAATCTCAGGCTGATAACATCTCGATTGGAAGCAAACATGAAGAAACTAGGGACCGAGTATACAGTTAATAGCTTCTAAATTCTAAAGAAAAGGGTACAAAAAATTTTGCTAGGCTAGACATGTAAACTTTATTATTGTTTCAATTTCTTTTTATCTGAATACAATAAAATTAATGCTAGAATCAAGAAGAATACGTGGGTCTTGCAAACTTTTCCCCAATCTACTAACCTATTAAAATCTTGAATACAGATCAACAAAATCACAAGAAAACTTAGTTGATTAAGTAAAGTATTGAAATCAATGCATTCAGGAACTGTTTGGCTCACAGATTAGGCTTATGTCATCCAAGGTTAGGAAGCCAAGCCTATGTTTATACACGGGTTTGTCAACCCCGCAAGTTATATAAACTATATTACATATATCTAGTCTTATAAACCCACCTTTTTCTCACTTTCTGTAACATATTCTTTTGGACTACCCAAATATAAATTATCTCAAGCTTCATAAATCCAAACTTATTAAAGCTACGAGGGAAGCATCAACTTACAGTTCTAAGTAGTCAGAGCAAAAATGCTTAAATGTAATGTAACAAAATCCTTAAACTTCTCTAAAAAAATTTCCAGGTAGATGCAGAAAATAACAGATTTTCATATTCACTACGAACTAATTTTTCGACTGGAAATACTAACTTTAGATGGCTTACATAATTAATAAAATATACAACAAAAGATAAATGATTTATAATATTACTTCATAACAGTCGAAAAAGAACAGCAGAACAGCCGTAGGATTCAAGAATAGTCACAATCTAAGACAACTATAAAAAATTCCTGAAACTTTTTACATTTGAGCTCAACCCAGATTGCCACCACCCTGCTGCCACAAATTGATGATATCAGTTGCCTGATTAAGAAGGATAATCATCTGCTTTTGAGAAATCCAGGGTTTGCTCTCAAGTAAAACTTTGAGCTCTTCCCATGCATCTTTCCGAGGCCAGAAGTAGTATGGACTAAGAGGAATAGTACCATGACCAGGAATCATCTGATCAAGTGCAATGCCAATGTTCTTCTCCATCCATATGAACTTTAGCACAAGCCTCGACTTTTCCATCGGTTTCACAACGACTCCAAGCTTCTACAACATCAAAAAGTGAACATTTATTTTGCATGAGACCTCCATAATAAATCTATTTTGCTCAACATTTCATTTGTATAAGCAAAAGGGAACTATAAAATCAAAATCCAAATTATCTTTGCATTTTGCTACATAAAAATAATGAGAATAACAAAGAAATTCTCTGTTATAAAATCAGTATTTGACATTGATGCAAAGAGAGGGAGATTTTCTCTAAGACTCTAATATCGGTAAAGTAAAGATCAGGAGAAATAATATGATTACTGCATGGGTTTGTTTTAAAAAATATTTATCATTAGAGTTGTTCTAAATATTGTATTGTGTTACATAAAAGACGTGTTTGACACACAAGTTAGATTTGTGCAGCTCAACGTCAAGAGGTAAGCCTATATTTAGTATGTGAGCTTACTCGTATATCCAAGTTATAAGTCTTATTCTAGGTTATGAATTTGCTAATTCCATGAGTTACATAAATCCAAACTATAAAACCACCTTTTGAAATTGAACCAAAGGTACTCTATGCAAAATTTATAACTTGTTCTTTAGCAAAATCTAAATACAAATTAAACAAATCTAAGCTTCCCAATCTTACACTTCATAGACCTAAGCTTAACAACAACTAAAAACATCCCCTTAAAAAAAAAAATTCCACGTGAACTTAGCTAGGTGAGTTAATTTTAATCTTAAAGTTCTTGATTCATGAAATTAAGTCCCAAACTTGAATAATTGGTGAAGTTAACATCCTCCTCAAAATCAAACTAAAAAATTGCTAAGAAGGCAACCAAGAAATCACTCAAAATTCAGAAAGTAAAGCACTCAAATTTTTCAACTACAAAATACCAAACTCAGCGATGAGACACCCAAATCCAGTCACAAAGTCAAACAACCAAAGACATACCTGCAACCCAACACCAAAGCATCCAAATCCAACCAAAAGAATTGCTGAAGCCAACAATAAAAATGACCATTCACAAAAATAACACATCCCAATTCCCATCACAACAACGCACACATCTAACCACAAACCTAAAGGAAATAGCAACTCAACCAACGATGGTATTAATTCATTGTTTATTCAAACATAAGGCTCAGTTAATGAGATTTAACATTTTAAGGTTAAAGTTGCCTCAATCATCTAACTAGAGGGTTAGAATTGATCTTCTTCCATATGTTCATTCGAAATTTAGTTATCATTTAGGTTTTCATCAAAATCAACACCAGCATTCTCATTAGTATTTTCCTCAAATGTAACTCACAGAGCATTCGTTTACATCACACCTTTCATCATTGTATAGAAATAATAAGTCTACTCCACGAACCAAATTATAGTGGGCAATTGGGTTTCAAAGAATTCAAGTGTTTTCGTGGTACAGTTTCAATAAATACGACAAGGTTTCAACTAACCGAGTTCTATACCAGAGATGGAGGAAGACAAACCAAGTTCACCAATTTAATCCGTCCCTCTCTCCATTAACTTAACAACAATGATGCTGTTTCTTTACTAAACTTCCCCTTGCTCTCCCCCAAGTTTTGAACAACCCCAATCAAGTAAACAAAACAAGAATTAATTTCAGCTCACTAAACAGAACAAGCATATGGGTGAGAAGAGAGATACCTCCTTAACAGGAGAAGACACGGAGTCGGAATCATCAACGACGGGCGATTCTGAAGCAGCTTCTACAGCTTCGGTGGCCGCAGCTGGAGCAGAGACTTCGAGATTTCTAAAGTTTTGGCGCCTGAATTTAAATCCAGAAAAATAATGCGAGTGGGCAATGCAGGAAGAGGTCGAAGAAGAGGGAGACAAGGAGTAGGAGGCGGTGGTTCTTTGCTTCACAGGAAAAAGAACTTGAAAGGGTTTTGAAGTGGCGTTCTGAGCAGGGAAATTGGAGGTATTGAGACAGAAATTGATGTTGGGCTGAAGCTGAACTGCCATGGATAACATCATGGTGACTCTGTTTCTGAGATAAAAGGAGAAATTCAAGAAGAAGAAGAGCAAGAAGAAGCTGCTATCTGTATTTCTTCTTAATCGGAGGAGCTGGAAGATAAGTCGGGTCGGGTCGGGTCGGGTATGAGTCCAAACCCATTTAAGAGAGATTTTACGGCCCGGCCCAGGCCCAAGACCTTGCCTAAGGCGTAGCAGAGCCCAAATTTAAACTCTGCTTTCTCTCACTAACTTTTTTAATACACAAACCTTTTTTTTAATAATTTCTCTCCAACCGCCCACCCTAGCATAGCTCAACAATAATTGAGTGTATGTCTCTCTAATCAAGAAGATTAGATAAAATAATAATAATTCTTCTCCTGACACTTTTTTTTTTGTAAAATTTCCTTTTAGACATACTTCCTCTTTACACTCATTTTAGGTCAGAAATTATATTAAAAAGTAAAAAGTTTGTAATTTCCTCCCTAATTTACCTCCGAAATTTTTTAATTTAACAAAAATGTTTATAAAAGAGTTAGAAGGTAAAACGATGTCCCTTCTTAAGCAAATTTGTCCCAACTAATTTCTCCATATCCACATTCCTTATTTTTTTATTCCTTGTTAATTAATAACTCTCCAGCCCACCTACACATAACTTATTAAAGTACCTATTTCAATCAAAATATTGTAAATCTAACATTAGACATATTTTGTAATAATGAATGATCAAGAAGAAACGAGACATAAATGAATCAAATTGAGAGGAAAATCATCGCCTGAACAAATAAAGAACCCAACACAATACATAAAAAAAGCCAAGAATTGAGAGAACAGCAACCTGCCGAACGAAGGAAAAAAGGGCAGCCAAGACCTAAGAGGATAGTGCTTAGGTGCCATGGTGCTTCGAACTATTTTCGCCCACCTTGAGGCACCATGGCGCTGTCGCGGTGTTTTTTTATATATATATATAATTTTTAGATTTTCTATCCACTGTTTTGGAGTCTTCTTACCTATCTAGAGAACGGAACATGAGATAACTTAAAAATAGAAAGAAAAAGAGCTTAAGGAGTTTAGCGAAGGGATTTTCAAGGTTCAAGATCATGGAGATTGGCTCGGAGACGATCAATCAACACAACGGATTTAGCTTCCTATTTTTCCTTGATTTTTCTAGTTTTGTTATGGAACTTCATTTGAATGTTTGTTGTTTTACATTATGAATATGATTAGCTAAATATTTTGTCTTGGAGATTGATGTAGAGCCATTGATTTTTATGGATTGAATGATTACGAAGGTTCTATTTATGTTTATCTATGCTTAATGCTTTTAATTCACTCTTCACGTTCTTGAGATGGTTTAGAGTTAGGATTATGATGTGGTTTAGAGTTAGAACTATGTGCATAACTAAAGGGATTTTAAAACCGGAGATTCATAAATAAAGACTTATTTATTAAAGCTCTTAATTGTTGTTGGAACTAGATATGGATATTAGATTCTTAATTAGTAGAGAGAATTAACTTGTGCTTGAGAGAGTCATTTGAGTTCTCGACCTACCTAATTAATGTATGGTTCATTTAATATTGAATAATTAAGTAATTTGTTCGTAGTTTTAATAGGTAAATCAATTACTCCCTTATTTTTCTCTTTATTATTGCATATTTTACTTGTGGTACTCAAGTGAGCTATAAACCCAATACAATATCAATATTCACTTACCATATATATTAAAACTATACTCATACACTTGTCTGTTAGCAATTTTTGCTACATTTTTCAATTAGATCAAGTTACATCAAGATCTTTTCTCATATAACATCAAGATCTTGGTGTTCATCTTTTTAATTACATTGCACGAAGACTATTTGATAACAATCTTGATTTCCATATTCATGTCACATAATTCGATGAACACCGCAATATGTAAATGTATTTTGCTGTAGTGGTCACTCAATAACACCATCAATGTGGTAAAACAACCTATTTCCACAACATTGTATTACAAGTGAGATTTTGAGATTTTCATAGAGCACTTTTATGTACTTTT